AGATGGGGCTCCGAGACGCTGAGGCCTTTGCCCAGGACACGCAGCGCGTACAAGGCAGAGACGGTGCCCGAACCCAGACGTGCCTGGCTCAAGTTCCAAAGCCCAGAATGCACCTCCCCCCAAACAAATACAAGGTGAAGCCTTTCCTTCCGCCTGGGCACTCTAGACAAAGTGCACAGGACCAACAGAGGCCCACGAAGCTGCCTGCCACCTGACGAACCTCACTGATCGCAAATGCAAAGAGAAGATGACAAAGCCGAAATGTTTGAAAATACTTAAAGGACAATAAAACAAAATGATGACAGGAAGTTAGTGACAGCTGACATCTCACAGAGTTTTATAGAAATTCTGTTTTCCCGAGGGTGGGGGCACTGTGCGAATTCTGCTAAGCTGGGCCTGGCTTCTTAAGGAGGGCCTAGGATCTGTCACCTCTGCCTACCTGGCCTCGCCGATCCATAAACATTGCCACCTGCCTGGGTGCCCACAACAGATACTTGAGTGAGGGCAAGGGGCCAGAGTGAGAAATCTCAAGGCCCTGCTCTGAGCAACTTCCTGACAGTCACTTGTTCTGTCAGTCTTCCTGCCTGTAGAATGGGCATGATACTACTGTATGTATCATGCTTAACTCCCAAAGGAAGTTAGGGTTAGGGTTAGGGTTAGGGTTAGGGTCAAACAGAACCACCTTTTGAAGAACATAAACTCCCATGGTCTTTCCAAGAACCCTGAACTGTGGAAGATGACAGTTTCTCAAAACAGAATATACAACCTCAAACCAAAACAGGGAGCTACACAAAGAGCCTTATACAGAACAAACACCCGAGTCTCTTGCATTATTCTGCACTACTGCAGACCCCCCGGTGTCTGTGCTGTGAAGTACGTGGGCCTCTCTCCCCTGCTTCCTCTTCTCGGACAGATGCAATGTGCCCGGGGCTCAGCGAGACAAGGGACTTGCTCAGAATCGCCGCAGAGTAAGGGCTACATCCTGGAAGACTGACGTGGACGCCAGCTCCACGGTGTGACCTTGGAGCTGGGAATGCTGCTCTCTGGGCTGACACGCTCTCATTTGGAAATAGATATCCTGCTCTCTCCATCTGTTTGGGTTGATATAACAGAATACCACAAACATTTATTTCTCACAGCTCTGGGGGCGGAGAGGTCCAAGATCCAGGCTTTGGCAGATTTGGTGTGAGGCGAGGGGCCGCTTCCTGGCACAGATGGTGCCATCTCTCCGTGTCCTCACGTGGGGAAAGGGGTGAGGGAGCTCACCCCTGAGGTCCTTTTAATGAGGAATGGGTCCTCATCCTGTGCACCAGGGCTCTATCCTCAGGGCCTCATCACCTCCTAATGCCACCCCAACAGCGAGTGGGTTGCAACCTGTGAATTGCATGAATGGCAAACACCCGCCTTTAAAATGGGTTCTCAGCAGTCACACCCATCTTCTGCGTCTGTCCTGAAGTTAAAAGAGAAGCGTGAAAAATCACTGAGCCCAGCACCTCGGCAGTGGTCGGTGGAGCTGTGATTCGTTGTAACTGCAGTTGTTACTGTCACAGCCGTCACGCTGGGTCTTCTCTCTCCTCTCAGGCTCCTCCCATCCCACCCATCCATAAACTTTCTTTCCAGGAAAAAAAGCTCTCAGATCTCAGCTCCCTGGGGGAGACTGGGCCAAAATGTCAGCCTGACTTTGGCTTGCTGCTCAAGATCACGCAAAGAAGACAGAAAAGCTGCACACTGGGGAGGAGGGAAAACAAGTACGTGGCAACACAGACAAAAATCCTGGAGGAGGAGAGTCAGCAGCCAGGCCGGTCTCTGCAGACCCGTCACACAGCTTGGGTAGGCCTGGCTGCGGACGGGCAGACTCTGACCACGGCCCGGGAGGACCAGGCAGCCCCAGGTCCCTGGGAGACTGGTTTCATCTCATTGCCAACAGCTAGGACCTACACTGTCACAGGGAAATACAGCTAAGGCTGATGCATGCTGAGGCTGGCTGTCAAGGTAGCACTGCCCTCCTGTGTAGGGAATGTAGGGCAGGAGCCCTGGGAGGCCCTGGCCAGCTGCCTTATTGGGATCCCACCTCTATGCCTAGTGCCAGCCTCCAAGATCTGGCTACCCCTTTGGCCTTCAGTCGCAAAGGGGGCTCACGTGAGATTTGCTCCAGTTTCTGAGACCACAGGAGCAGGTCACCAGAGCATCGGCCAGAGTGGTATCTTCAGGCCTTCCACACTCCGTAGCCCTCATAGAATTAAGAAGGAAACAGGAATTACACTCCGATGGGCCATCTGCTGGCCCACCCATATCCCCGCACGCGTGCACATGCCCGAGGACTCCACCTGCCCTTCCGCACCTCTCTGGCCATGTGCACCATCCTCCTCCTTAGAGTTCTTGAACTCTGGAATCAGGGCTGGGGAAGATCCCGGCATCTCTGCAGCTCCTGCTTCCCTGCATCCACCCACCCGAATGTCCCCCAGACCTTCTGCAGGCAAGCCAGTGTGCTGGGCACTGGTGACCTTGGAGATGGGCTGTGAAGGGGGAATGACGGTGGCTCTGGAGTGGAAGGCACTGTCTGTCCAAAGCCACTGGAGCACAACACAGCCTGGTCAGGGAATAGGAAGTGGCTCACTGGGGCGGGAGAATGCTGCCCATTCATAAAGGTCTTAAAGGCCATGCCAAGTAGCTTAATGGAGCCCACGAGAAGAGCCACCCGTAGAGGAGTGACAGATCTATCCCTTCGAAAAACACCGTCAGGGGCCATTTGGGGAGAAGGCTGCCAGCAGAAAGGTGGCAAAGTGAGTCAAATCCTTGCCCCACGATCAATTCTCCCTCTGGTTATTTTAAGGCTCTTTCTAGACGAATAAGTATCAGATGACATGATAGGGAAGGACAGAAAATTTGCTAAAAGCTCCAAGGAGCAGGGGGAGGGTTAGTGAGGCACGGGCTGTGTGTCTGGGGTCCAGTTGCAGGAGGCACCACTGCTGGAACGGGGCATGTGCCCAACAGCTGCCTTGCCAAGACACTCAGCGGTAGGCACGCCATCTGCTGTGACTTCTCCACGAGTGGTGGTGGGGCCGGGGCATGGCGGCTCGGCACGCCTGAAGGTAGCTGCAGAGTGTTTACATGCAAAGGTGAGAGCGTTGTTGGTTCCATTGTGGGCAGACCAGAGGCCAAGTCCCAGCCGTGTTGGATGACTGCAGTCAGGTGTAGAGCCATAGGAGCCGAGCTTTCCCCATCTGCAAAATGGGTTGTGCGGAAGTCCTGGGAACAGCACTGTGCACATTTCTGGCATGATTGCCCATTCCCCTCGGCCGGACGCCACAGGAGGGCAGGGATGTCGTGATGTGTGAGGATGTCTCCTCCAGCGGCGGCATCAGTGAGAATCACTGCCATGCACAAATGTCACCGCCACCCTCAAACACTGGGGACGAACAGACTCCTCTCCCTCTCTCCGTCCCCCTGCTGTTAATTACTTGGGCCTGAATCCCACATTCTCTAGAACAGGCTGCTTGTTTGTTCAAAAGTCTTCCTGGGGAGAGAGCAAAAAGATAATGCACATTTCTTGTTCTGCTGGTTCCTTCTTTGAACAACTTTTTTTTTTTTTTTTTTGGTGAGCCTACTATGTGCAAAGCATTATCTTGGTGCTGGGGATACAAGAACAAGAATTAGAGTCCAGCCCCTCTGCCTTCATGATGCTTATATTAACTAGAAGGGGCCTCTAAGGAGGCTCCAGGGTCGGCAACCAGGAAATGGACAAGCAGTCATATAAACAAAGGAAATAATTTCAAGTAGTAACAAGTGCTATGAAAACAGTCAAGCAGGGTGGAGGGCCTTGGGGCAGCAGCCACTTCCAGATAGGGCAGCTTTAGGGAGGGTCTCTAATGGGAAGTGCTGTGTGAGTTGAGAGCTTGAAGATAAGGATCAGAGGAAACAAAGATACTCTTGTGCACTGGAGGGAGGGATTTGCAGTGGGGGAACAGCAGGTGCAAAGGCCCCGAGGTGGGAATTAGTGACCTTTCGCTATGTTAACCTGCTTTGAGTCAGGTGTATGGGATCTGGACACTAAGAAGGGTATTTGGAGAAATATCCTAATTCAAAATAGACTATATCTAATTCTTCTTCCCTTTTGCCATACCAAGGGAAGCTTGGAGGGTCACAGCTAAATTTCTCTATAACTACAGCTGCCATGCCTTCACCTCCTACTCCCTCCTCTACCACCTGGCCATAGCTTTAGCATTGATATTTCTTTTCTTTTTCTTTCTGGAATCTTGGAGCTATCCTCAGCTGAAGCCCTTCCCATTTCCTGCCCAACCTAAAGCCTAGCTTGCTCTCTTCCTCCTCCGTTTTGCCCGCTCCTGGGTGTGGCTGGCTTCTCAGCACCTGGGTTCCCCTAGGATGGAGGTCAAAGCCATGAATGGCATTGTGGCATAGTGTGATAAGCTGCTGCCTGCATCCCATATGGGTGCCAGTTCGAGTCCTGGCTGCTCCACTTCTGAACCAGCTCCCTGCTAATGGTCTGGAAAAGCAGGGAGGGATGGCCCAAGTCCTTGGGCCCCTGCCACCCTTGTGGGAGACCTGGAAGAAGCTCCTGGTTCCTGGCTTCAGCCTGGCACAGCCCCAACTGTTACCACTATCTGAGTAGTGAACCAGCAGATGGAAGGATCTCCCTGTCTCTCCCTTGCTCTTTATAACTGATTTTCAAATAAATAAGTAAATCTCTGAGAGAGAGAGAGAGAGAGAGAGAGAGACCTTCTGAATTCACCCACCTCATCCCTGATTTCAGCATGCTTGATAGAATCCAAAGAGTGTTAAAAAGTGGCCTGGGTAGAGCAGGCTTAGTAATACAGTGAGTACAGCAACATCCTCAGGTTATCCACAAGGAACCCGAGGCTTAAAGGAGGCAAAGTAACTAACTGGCTCAGGGCATGCGGTAAATTAGGGATAGGTCTCAGGGCTCTTTGCAAAGAATTGAGCAGGGACTTTAAAGTGGTCAAAGATTTTTTCCCATACAGTATCTTCCAGTGTTACAGAGAAACAGGAGCATGGAGAGGCTGAGTGATCCGTCCAGGGCTACACGAGAAGAGTTCCTCAGAGCTGCCCTGGAATCCACGTCTTCTTATTGGAGATCTGATGCGTCTGTTATTTCACCGTGCTCTCCCCGTACCTAACAGACCATCGGTAAGTAACTCTTCCAGAACACTCCAATGACATTTGGAGGAGAAAAAACACTTACCATCTCTGCATGATTATCTTTCTTTCCTTGTTACTCACCAGGCAGTCAACTCAACAGAAGGACCATTCTCTTTCCGGAAAGATTGGATGTAAGTCTGAAAAGAGCTTCCCCACAGTCAAATATTGGTGTCGTTTGAATGATTTCCCTTGGAAGATAATCTTCAATGACTGACAGCTTCTACAGAATGGGGCTTCAATAAGCTAGAGAAATCCGTGTCTTGCTGTAGTCAATTTATAGTCTTTCCTGCTTTCCACCAAATTTCTTTTCCTGGTAATATTTCTGGCATTTTATTTTTAGAACATGGGTGATGAGTGAGAATTTTTGAAAAACTGAAGTATAGCATGTATCAGTAGAATCATGTACTTTTTTAAAAAAGGATTTGTTTATTGATTTGAAAGACAAGGTTACAGAGAGACGGGAGAGAGAGAGAGGGAGAGAGAGAGAGAGAGATCTTCCATTTACTGGTTCACTCCCTGAATGGTTGCAATGATTGGGGCTGGGCCCAGCCAAAGCCAGGAGCCAGCAGCTTCATCTGGGTCTCCCATGTGGGTGGCGGGAGTTCAGAACTTGGGACTGTCTTATGCTACTTTCCCAGCAGGGAGTTGGGTCGGAAGTGGAATGGGAACAGGAGAAGGAGAGGGAGAGGGAGAGAGCCCATTGTTTGCTGGTCAATTTCCCAAATGCTGGCAGTGATAGGGCCTGGAACTAGGTCAAAGCAGGAGCCACGGAGAGCAATCCAGTTCTCGCAGGTGGGCAACTGAAACCCAAGTGCATGAGCCATTGCTGCTGCCTCGCAAAGCCTGCATTAGCAGGAAGCTGGAGTCGGGAACTGGAGCCAGGTATGGAACCCAACTACTCTGATGTGGGACATGAACCTCTTCACCTCTAGGCTCAACACCTGCCCTCCGGCAATCATTCTGAAGAGGGCAAGGTCTTAAGATGCTCTGGGAAGAGCCAACTGCCTTCCTCTGTGAGTGGGCAGCCCAGCCTCTGTTCCTCCTTGCTTAGAAATAATGTAACAGCTTTGCCAGCCGACCCATTTTCATTAATCCATGGCTTCCTTTCCTGCCCCTCACCTAGGGGACACAGACAGGGCATGATGGCCCAAGTACTTGGGCCCTGCACCCCATGGGAGACCAGGATAAGCACCTGGCTCCTGCCATCGGATCAGCACGGTGCGCCGGCCACAGCGCACCGGCCATAGCGCACCGGCCGTGGCAGCCATTGGAGGGTGAACCAACAGCACAGGAAGACCTTTCTCTCTGTCTCTCTCTCTCAGTGTCCACTCTGCCTGTCAAAAAAAAAAAAAAAAATCAGAATGGAACAAAAGGCACACCCTTCCTTTACAGCCAACCTGCTTCCCCAAGGGGCTGACTGGGAACCTCTCTCCCCTCTCCATTAGCAGCTAACTGTAGGGAAACCTGTCACAGACCTCATTCCTGCTCCCAGGCACGCTGGGCCCCTCTTGCTTCTGCTGGCCTGGCGAGGATGTCTGAAAAGCTCAGTGGCTTCCAGGTCTGCTTCACTCGACCCCCTTCCCTTGTACCAGTAAGGGGCCCAGTGTCTGCCACCCAAGAGGAAGAATGCGGACAAGCGGTTCCCCATGTGCAGCCTGTGCGAGCTGGCTGCCCTGCGAAGCTTCCTTCACCCTCGGCCTCAGTTTCTTCAGCTGTAAATTGGGGATGACAAGCAGACCCATGCAGTGCGGTTATTTGGAGGAATCAAGGAGGTCCTGTGTGTCCAGGGCCAACGGCTGGCACCAGCTCAAGTCTTCACTGCCTGTCTCCTGTGGTCATTCCCTTGTGTCCAGGAGTCAGTACTGTCCAGCTCCTGGTAGTCTGCGGTTACACTGTATCTCTCAACACCCAGTTCTGCCTGCTGTTTGTCCTCCCAAACACCCACCCCTTCCCCTGGCCACTTTTGTTTTGGAAAACAAAGAAGCAACAACACAAAGCTTCCCACCACCTGCCCTGCCTGCAGCCCGGCTTCCTGAGGACACAGAAGTGCTTCTGCACCCGCTGCAGAAGGCACTGGGATTTTTGACCAAGAAGCAACACAAACACCCCAGGGCTGTGGGGAGTGACCGAGGGCTCCTGTCTAGAGGTTTTGCAGAGAAAAGCAAAACAAGGGGCCCACACATTTGCCATTCCTGCAAACTTATGATCAGTCCATGGGAAGAAGGCTGTGTCCTTGAAGGAAGAAAGAAGAAAAAAAAAAAAAAAACTGGAAGAGCTGCGGATGGGCACAGGGTGTCCTCGTCACACATCTGCCTGTCCCTGCGCCCTGTGGGACCCCTGACTCCCACAGTAATGACGCTAAACATGCACAGTCCAGAGGGACATGTGAACACTCAGAAGGTGGCCACTGTGTCCAGCAGCCGGAAGCTTGCCAGGTTTAGTGGGCAGCTTAGTGTCTGGCCACGAAATCTAAGGCAAGAGAAGAAATCATGCCTAGGAAATCTGAATATCAAGGCACCCATAGGTCTATCTTCCAGTCTTCACGCAATGACCATTTGAATCCCCAGCCAGCCAAAGTGGAGAACACAATTTCTCCATTCAGCCAACACGAGGGTCTCTTGCTCTAGACAGGAGGCTGAGTGAGCGCTCAGAGCTACCCAGGCTTGTGGGGAAGAGAGGGAGACCGTAGCTCCCCTGCACACCCCTGGTCCCGTGAGTCCCGTGCTGGAGGTTAATGATAATCACAAGAGGCAGCCCAGCATTGCCTCCCTGTCCGGCTGAGAGGTTTACAACCTAAACTCATGGCAGAGGGAGAAATTGGCTCAATCACTTGGAGTCATGGTACATGGAGAGCCAGTTGGGCATGACTGCTGTTTCACTCAAGGAAACCAGGCTGCTGCGCTTGGCGTACACACACCTAATAAACACGTCACACTACAAGGTGAAAATGAACACCACCCCCTGCCCACCGGGCGTCACTCTGCACGGCCCGCTCACCCCGCTCCTGAACAAGCACACGAGACCAGGCTGGGAGAAAAGGGCCAGGAGCGGCTCCACTCCATTCCGCTGAGATGAGAAACCAAGAATCCTTGGTCACGCCACACTTTAAAAAAAAAACTCAAAATTCACCCATCGCGAGACCTTACCCCAAATATTGCTCCTAAGGCATTTTGTAGGGGGAAGATGGAAAGAAGAATTACCTGTTGTCAATATCTAATATGTTCAGATCTCTTATTATGGGCCAGACACCCCTGCTGTACCCTCCCAGTGATGTCAGTGTGCTGGGCACCATTATCATCCTCAGATAACAGGCGAGGACATTGCAACTCTGAGAGTTTAGTAATGTTCCTGAGACCACCCAGATGGAAGTAGTATTGAATACAGACTAAATCAGAGCCCAAGTTCTCAGCCTCTATGCTGCCCTGGGTGTTTTATGTACAAAGGAGGAGGTGGTCGAGGAGAAGATCGTAGGCTTGATCAAGGTCTTAACAGGTCCATCTCCACTCCAATCCCACTGCTCTCCCACCACACACAAGAAGAAAACTTTTACCCTGTGTGAAACACTGGAGATATGCAGGGTCTTCAAAAAGTTCAATGAAAATGCATATTATTTATAAAAAACTGTGTCAGGATTTCAAACACTTTTTTAAAAAAGGGATTTTATTTATTTATTTATTTGAGATGTAGAGTTAACAGACAGAGAGAGGGAGAGACAGAGAGAAAGGTCTTCCATCCACTGGTTCACACCTCAAATGGACACAATGGCCAGAGCTGAGCTGATTGAAAGCCAGGAGCCAGGAGTTTCCTCTGGGACACCCATGTGGGTACAGGGGCCCAAGGACTTGGGTCATCTTCTACTGCCTTCCTAGGCCACAGCAGAGAGCTGGATCGGAAGAGGAGTAGCTGAGACTATAGCCATATGGGAAGATTAACCTACTACATACAGCACTGGCAGGTGCTCAAACACTTTTTTTTTTTTTTTTTTTTGACAGGCAGAGTGGACAGTGAGAGAGAGAGACAGAGAGAAAGGTCTTCCTTTGCCGTTGGTTCACCCTCCAATGGCTGCCGTGGCAGGCGCGCTGCGGCCGACGCACTGCACTGATCCAATGGCAGGAGCCAGGTACTTATCCTGGTCTCCCATGGGGTGCAGGGCCCAAGTACTTGGGCCATCTTCCACTGCACTGCCGGGCCACAGCAGAGAGCTGGCCTGGAAGAGGGGCAACTGGGACAGAATCCGGCGCCCCGACTGGGACCAAAACCCGGTGTGCCGGTGCCGCAAGGCGGAGGATTAGCCTAGTGAGCCGTGGCGCTGGCCCTCAAACACTTTTTGCACCAAACTTATCTTTCAAGGTATTAACAAAAATCTTTGAAGCACTTTTGTACAATCATCCTTGCCCCCAGAGAACTTGTAATCTAGGTGCAGAACCGCTAAAGAAAGATGGGATCATAGGAAGAAGGGCAAACTAGGACCCATCAGGATCATTCCTTGTTCTCCTCCTGGTCCTCCCATCCATGCAGGTGCTCCACACTGTGATCTGATTGTTGCGAGGACCTGGGACATCTCCTTGTCCCAGACCAAGTCCCAGTGTAGGTGCTATGCCCTTGCTGCCCTGACAAATGAAACAAGGTGTGTTCATCAGGATAATGTGACCAACCATAATAAACAATCTCTAAAATCTATACTAACTAAAGACTTCAACTTGTTAGATCTGGTTAAAGAAGAAGACACCAATTTAAATTTGAGTTTCAGATAAACAACATTTTAAGTATAATTATGTCCCATACAATATGTGGGATATACTTATACTAAAAACTGATGATTGTTGATCTGCAATTCAAATTGATCATGTGACCTTATTTTATTTGGAAACCCTACTCAAGACATCCTACATTTATGTTTAGTTATCTAAAATCTAAAACGAGTGTTCTTAGTCAGCAGACAGCTCTCCTCCAAGTTGTGGCTCAGGGATCCAGGCTCTCCCACGAAAGGGCAAGTGCATGGAAGGTTCCAAAGGGAGTTTTATGGGCAGTCCTGAGGGTAACGCAAGAGACTTCTGTTCATGACAACCAGCCAGAACTCAGCCACATGCCCGAACCTACACGCATGGTAGGCCAGTAAATGCAGCCCAGGGTGCACTCAGGAAGAAGGCTGGGGAGCAGCCAGCCAGCCTCTGCCACACGTGGTAACAGCAGAGCCGAATCCTTACCGCTTGGGCCTAAAGCCCATTTCCTGTGCAAGTGCTGGGTGCAGTTAGCAGCCTTACACCCACTGGCGCCCTCCCATGGGGTCAGACGTTCTCTTCTCTGCCCTGTACTGACTTGGGGTTGGGCTTCCAAGGTCATTGTAAGAGTAATGAGCAATGCGATTCAAATCTATTCATTTCAGTTTGATGCTAGTTAATAAAATATTTATTCACGTTCCCAGGATATTGAGAAAAGCTTGGCTCTAGGCCTCTGGCCACAGAACCCAGCATTACTTTCATAGAGCTGTATACAAACCAAATTCAACAGCTCCAACCCTTACGTATGCCCTATTGTAAATTTAACCCTTACTTATACCCTGTTGATCTCTCAAGG